CGCCCCCCCCCCCTCGATGAGCTCACCGCCCTTCGAGGACCGCTGGGGTGATGGGGGGGCTAGGTTCTTCTAAAGAGCCCGTGGGGTCTGCAGGGCCCACGTCTCAACACAGCTAGAAAGGCCACCTCCTCCAGGGAGCCACCCAGTCATGGCCCTGCCTTTGCCCCAAGCCTGGACTGGCCAACAAGTGGGATTCTGTCCTCTGGGGTGGAGGATACAACAGGCCTTTGCAGGTATCCACCGAATGCTTACCATCCGCCAGGCCCCAGCGGGGCAGGAATGCCTGGTGATGAGCAATCAGCCAGCTGCCACCAATTGGGCCCCTGCTGAAGGATACTGAATTCTTAGGAACAGGATCAGGTGCAGTCCCGAAGCCTGGGAGCGTGCGGTGAGGAGCAGCCTAAAAGAGCCAAGTGTTTGTGAGCTGGGTGGGCACAGCCACACCCTGGCTCTGCCAGGCTCCCTCTTCCTCTTCTCTGTGCCCATTTCCTGGTAGCTTCAGATTCAGCCACATAAAGCGGTATCGTTTTAACATTTTGCCCACAATAAAAACTACCTTTTATATCCTGAGCCAGTATGTGTGCGCGCACACACAGACTGACACCAAAAATTGAAACATTTCTCAAAACTACCCTCCCTTAGTACCTATAAAGCACTTTGGTATTTTCTATTCTGTTCTACTTCATTAAAGGAAGGGGCCCAGCTGACATGACTCAGTGGTTGAGTGTCAACGTATGAACCAGGAGGTCATGGTTCGATTCCCAGTCAGGGCACATGCCTGGGTTGTGGGCTCGATCCCCAGTGGGGAGCATGCAGGAGGCAGCCGATCAATGATTCTCTCTCATCGCTGATGTTTCTATCCCTCCCTCTTCATTCCTCTCTGAATAAAAATATATTTTAAAAAGAGAATAAAAGAGAGGAAGGGATAAAGGAAGGGAGAGGAAGGAAGAAGCTTGGTCACACCTGCTAAATGAATTTGGTGATCTACAGTTTAACATGAATGGGAAGGCGTTGTTCACCCTCCAAGCCTCCCTTGCCAATGACCTTTCTACCTAGACCCATGGTGGGATCTCCCAGCAGCGCCAGGGTTTCCATTTCTCACTGCTCCCTCTCTGGTGGGGCCCCCCACCACTACCACTGGGGAGGGCGGTGGATTATCATCACTTGATAGATGAGCGGCCTGAGCTCAGCTCCATTGGGTGGCTGTGCTGGAGCTCATGGCCACGGCTGTCCTTCAAGGAGGGAAACTTACCTGCCACAGGCATTGCCAGGGTTACAACAGGTGAGGGGGCATGAAGGCGGCAGTGGCTGGATCCCAGGCGCCCCACCTCCATTTGAATCCTCTCTTTACACTTCTGCGTCACTCCCCCTCCACACATCCCCCCTCCACACACAGTTCTTCGCTGCTGCTTCCAGGTCTGGGGGGAACGAAGGTTTGTCCAGCACCAGCTGTTTCCTGGTGTTAAAAAAATGTCATAAATGAAAGACCTTTTCTCCTTGTGTTGAAGGTTTTGGAAAACCACTAGAATCAGCTTCATCCCTGCTGCCAAGGCAGGCTGACTCTCCAACTGGCTGTGCCAATGGCTCCCAGATGCACCAATGGTTCCAGGGTTGGAACACAAGGCATTCTTTGAGAGGCTTTTGGTTCGCTAACCATTCACTGTTTTATATTGCTTGTGACAATCTTCCTTCCACACACACACATTTTCACAATAATCACCATCTTATGACTTTTGTTACTCTCTGAGCTGTTTCAAAGAATTCAAACACTGGGGAAAACCCAAAGGCTCTCTAACATCCTTGAAAAGTTCAGTTTTGTCCAGTGCTAAAGTATGAAGGAGATTCTGATCTTACGGAAAACATGAATAGCGCAGGGAACAATCATGTCCTTGGACATGGATGCTGAGAAATGTATTCGTGTTGATATTATTTTTCCTTACAACTTTCAATCTGGCTGGAATTGCATGTTATACAATATACTGCTTGGAAGCCATTCCCCATCCTTAAAGGAGAAACTGCCTTCTTTTTTGTTTGTTAATCCTCACCTGAGGATATCCTTCCATTGATTTTTAGAGAGAGTGGAAGGGACGGGGAGAGAGAAACATTGATGTGAGACATATTTGTTACCTCCCGTATGTGCAGGGCCAGGGATTGAGCCTGAAACCGAGGTACTTGCCCTTGACCGTAATTGAACCCAGGACCCTTCAGTCCGCAGGCCAATGCTCTATCCACTGAGCCAACCCCTCTAGGGCGAAACTGTCTTCTTACTCTGGACTTGGACTTGGTGACTTCCTAGCCCTTTCCTGGCTGTGGTTCCATATAAACTCCTCTTCTTGAACTCTGCCTACCCTTCCCAGGAAGACTCCCGTGGAGGTCCCAGATTTCCTCCAACAGCTCCTCTGAGGACTTGGAACCCCTGCTGGGCCACAACTGTCCAGGTCATTGCCATGAGGACTAGGTACTGGCTGGGGGAACATTCCATTGAATGAATTGCTGCACTTGAGGCCCTTGGGCAAGTCTCTTCCCTCTCTGGTCTCCCGGTTTCTGCTCTATGTGATGGGGGTAATGCAGGGGGCCTTTCAGCTCTGATGGTCAAGGGCTCCCCCCTGGTTTCTGGTGGTCTGGGATGGGTCTGCACTGCAGTGGGGCTGTACTTGGGCTCCAGGAGCCCACAGGGTGGGCGCAGGAGACCATCACAGATCAGCCTCCTGGTGCCATCTATGGTGGGACCTCCTAGTGGGACAACAGTGGGGGACATAAAAGGCCGAGTGCCGAGGCAGGTGCCGGGGGAGGGGTGTTCCTTGGGGAGACGGCAGACCTAGAATTCCTTGACCTCATAAGGAAACAGCTTGGATGCATACAGGGAGGGGTGGCATGGGGGAGGACTGAGCCTCCGGGACATGGGCCAACATTGCAGAAGAAGGCTTGGAGAGGTGCTGGGGAATCTGATCTTGCCAAAACCCAAAATTCCACGAGGCAGCCTCTGAGAGGCCCAGAGCCCAAACGCCATCTCTCTCCCTGCTCTGAAGCCATACACGTGTCTGGGGACTCACACGTCTCCTCTTCATCTTTCAGGAGACAGAGCAGGTCCCACCTTTACTCTAAAACCAAGTCAACAGCAACTCTTCTGAGGGTCTTTGTATGCAGTCAATCCAGAGGCCCATGTGTTTACCACTCTGTCTGGCAACCTTCTTCCCTCCATGGAGAACTGATCTGTGACCCTCACCAGCTGGGCCAGCCAGCTCGTCTGAACCAGAGCCCACCTCTCTTCTGCTCCCCATCACCAGCTGTCAACCATGAGACCAGGGACAGCACCTCATTTCCCTATGTTCCCAGTTCTAGGCCTGCCTAGGGAGAGGCACCTCAGTTGGCCCCACACTCCACTGGCTGTCTTTGTTTAGAATCTCCACGGGACAGCTTTCCAATCTCCATGGGACAGCTTTTGACTGACAAAGGCCCTTACCAAGTCCTAGTGACAGTCCAGGCTCCTCAGTAGGCCTTGGTGCTTTCTGTGGTTGGCTCCCCTCAGTCCCTGGGCCCCCTGTCCTGGGGTGGGGGCTAAACTTTCATGGCACTGAAACCCCCACACACCCAGGTGCTCAGAGCCTGCCAAGCCTATTGGTAGCCCTGAGTAGGCCACTCTGGGTCTGGAAGGGCCCCCTTGGCTCCTTGTCTGGCCATCTCCTGGGTCACACTGGGCTCAGGGGCCATTCACACAGGAGGGGAAACCCCTAGTGCCCCAGGTGGACGGCAACCCCAGGCAGACACTCGCTGTCTGTGCTCACATCACACGGTGCCCTATGCCAGTGCCCATTATTGGCACGTCCGGCCACTTCCAAGGCTGCTTGCTCCTGGAGTGCTGGCAGCCTCCTGGCCCAGTGCCCCATTTCCTCCCGAGTGGAGCAGGGAGGGAGGGAAGCGGTGGGGACCGCAGGGTGCAGGTGCACAGGCCAGAGCTGTGCAGACAGGAAAGCTGGAGGGGAACAGGGGGGTAGGTGGTTGGGGCGAGGCCTGGGGGCAGCCTAGGGCCTGGGCTCTGCCTGGGGTCGCTTCCCAAGTGTGGCACACGCACTCAAAGCGCTTGCAACAGCGACTAGCCCGGGACCTGCGCTTTCTAAGGGCTCACCCTTAGAATGGGCCCATTCCCGGTACTGCCTGGGCAGCCTGCCGGGGTGCGGCCCGGGAAACCCCTGATTCTCGGTAGCGGGGGCTGCGGGGAAGGGGAGAGCCCACGTGACTCAGAGAAGGCAAGCCACGCCATGCGCACCGGCCCCGCCCCACTTGCAGGCTCTGGCCGGTTTCTGCCGGTTCCACTCGCAGGGCCCCACTCCTCACTTCTCGCCCGAACACACCAGTGGGTGACGTCGGCGCTCGCTGGCCCCGCCCTCCTCCCATGTACAGGCGGGTCTACTCTCATTGCCCTCGCGCGCAGGCCCCGCCCTTCTCTCACGTCCTGCCCAAACTCCACAGCGTGTG